AGCAAATTATTTGATGTCAACATTAATTAGTTAATTACTGATAAAACTGACCAAAAGTCTAAGATTATGGCCAATCCCACACCACCAGAAACACCCTTCAGTCCTCTAGGGCTCTTCAGTCTTGGCCTTCTTGGACTTGGGCTCAGCATCTGATGATGGTGGATCTGATGCTGCTTCATCATTCTGCTCAGAGTCACCAAAGACCTGAGAGTCATCATCCTGCTGAGAGTCACCAAAGACCTGAGAGTCATCATCCTGCTGAGAGTCACCAAAGACCTGAGAGTCATCAGCATGCTGAGAGTCCTCAGTGACCTGCTGGGGCATCCTGCTGAGCACTTTGTCCCTGATCTCAGCAAGCTCCTCCTTGATCACATCAGCCCTGAGGTTCTCAATGTTCTGGCAATGCTGGACCCACTGATGCTGCCTGACCTCCACAAGTGCCAGCATGTTGAGCAGCTCAGCCTTGCACTTGATGAGGTTGAATCCATTTCCCTGAGACTGTCCACTGAGGGAGGCATGCACCTTGTGCAGCTCATCAAGGGAAGACCTGAGGTCCTGATGCTCCCCCATGTCGATCTCATGCCTACTGAGGAAGATAAGAGCATCCTGAGGTGTAATGCCAAGATCTGAGATGAACTTAAGGAGCTGTCCCTCTTCCTGAGTAGTAAGCTTCCCCATTGCCATGGCTGAAAAAGTTAGTGCAGTGGAACTGAGCTAAGGTTCTACTGGCTGTGTTTGATCCTTCACAAGCTCAAAAATCAACCTGAACCATTGCAAAGAAGCTGAGAGGTTGCATACAAGTTCAATCTAAGCCATAACTCATGACACCAAATCAAAGTTGAACATATTGTGATTAATTAATGAACAGTTAGTTATAGAAATGGTTGGTTCCTTCAGCTGAGTTCAACCTTAGTCATTGAAACCTTACCCAGACCCACCACTTTCCCAAACATTTTCTGGCAATGCCTTTTGCTGATAGTGCTATGCTGATGCATACTGAGCCTTGCTCAGGACAAAGTTGGAAACAACTGAGAAGCTAGCTGAGGTAGAAGATGATGTAGCTCACAGTCTGAGGTTCTACTTCATAGTGAGTCTCACTATGAAGTAGAACCTCAGTGCCTTGGCTTCTCCTTCTCCTCAGCACTGAAGATGCTCACAACTAAGAAGGATGATGTAGTCACCAGGTACTCCACTTTCTCAGGATGCTGATGTCCTGTCAGGGACAAAAAGCTGAGAGCAAAGCATACAACTATTTGACACTAATCTCAGTGTATAGTGTTCATTGAATAATTAATCAGATAAATAAGTAACTACCAATCAATATGTGTTAAACAAATTGACTAATTAATTATGCAATCAAATAATTCCAACAATTAACCTGCAGAAGAAGCCTCCACATCCCTTCAGATCTGCACACCTTTTTCCTTCATTCAAGCTGTATGGATTGCTTCTGAAAGCAAATTTAAAAAGGACACTGAGATTTCACTCAGTGATGTTCCATCTGCCTGAGGCAGCTACTTATCCTCATCATTCTGAGATTTTTGTTTCTTAGCTGGAGGACTGAGCAAATAGACAGCCCTGTCCCTTGGGATCTGGTACTTCTCTATGAAATCTTCAAGTTTCTGAGTCATGAAAGCATCCTGAGCCTCCTGAGCCTCCCTCTCAGCTTTTTCAGCCTCCTGCTGAGCCTCCTCCTCAGCTAGTACTGCCTCTTTCATTAAAACCATGTTCTCATGGGTTCCTTGGAAAGCAATGATGCTGTTTGAAATCTCCTGAGACACATCTTCCATCAAGCTGAGATCAGTCTTCAGTCTGGCCACAGTCCTTTCCTGCATTTTCTGAGCTTGTTCCATCAATTCTATGCATTCTTGGAGCTCATCCATGTGAACTAACAGGTCCTCCAGAGGTTGATCATTCATGGAAGCATCTGAGAGAAGCAGAGCCATTGCTGAGCACCTACCCCCAGGATCCATCTGCTGGAGCTGGCTGAAGTAGTATGCTTCACCACTATGACACTCACTGGCCTGAGGTGGATCAGCTGGCCTTGCCTTAGGCATCACTGGTGTGCCTAGAGGCTCAGGAGGACGCTGAGAAGATGAAGGCCTAGAAGCAGAAGGATCTTCCATGAACTGAGCCTTACCATAATCTGCCTTCACTGACTTAGACCATGGCAATGGATCCATGCTGAGAATCCTGGTGTAGTACCACTGGATCACCCACTGAGGCCATCCATCTGAGCCCTCAATGCAAGCTGCTTTGAATGAAACAAAAAAAGTAGACTGTAATTGATCAATTAATTCATGATGTTACCAAGTAATGAATTGCTCAATTAATTAATTAATTGGCTAATTGATTAATTAATTAATTATATGATTAATGTTGTTTACTTAGTTTTGAACTGTCACTGAGGTACTTGTAATTAGCAGTAATACTTTAGTTCAAAGCACATAAAAATCAGGAACAAAAAACAGGTAAACAAAAATAACATTATTCTAAGTCCACCCAGGAACTCTGCATTTGCCACATCCTGACTGCCAAGGAATTCTGCTGAGAAAAATGTCAGCTCCACAGGAACCACAGGCAACCTTAGGCTCATCCAAGTACCTGGGGTACTTGACCATAACCTCCTTATCCTGATTCTGGAACAGCTCAGAGATGTAAGGTCTCTTAGGATCACATGGTTGCACCAACTGAGCATGCTTTCCATTCTCTGATCTATACACCATTCCAGCAGGAATAGTGCTAAGGAGTTGCTGAGGTACCCAGGGCCCATATCTGCCCTCAGCATCCTTTTTTCCTGAGCCTTGGGCAGCTGTCTTCTGCTGCCAAGGGTGATTCTGCTGACTAGCAGCAGTGTTTGAACTCATGGCTTGCAAGAAGTGCAGCTGAGTTGGTGGAAATCACACTGAGATCAAAGCAGCTGAGGAATCACATAGACATGCATAATTCAACACCATGCAAGCAAAATATCTAGTTGACTAATTCATTTATTACAATTATATATAATGAATCAATAAATATATAGTTATTGAATATGATGCATGTGCAAGTAATTATAAGAAACTTACACATGCATAAGCATGCATTACTGATCAAGATTGCCACAAGTCTGAGGCCATGGTCAAGCTGAGCACCAATCCTACCCCACCAGAAACACCCTTCAGTCCTCTGGAGCTAAGTGATCTCATGGTGCTGAGTGATTCCAGCATGCTCTTCAGCAGCACCATTGCTGAGAAAATCAACACAGTTGGATCTGAGCCTTCACAAGCTTTGGTATATAACATCAAAACTAAGTAAAGATTTTCCAAAGGATGAGTTTCAGCCAACCAAAAAAAAACATGAATGATCATGATACAAAATAGTATGGTTTGTTTGGGGGTACACTATTGTGTCCAGCTGCTTCCTGATGTGTTTTTTTTTAACATTCTCTTTACCTTTTCCTTTGCTATTATTTTTTATTTTCTCAATTAGTTTCTTTTATTTACAATTCTCAGAAATGCTCAATTTCTCAAAATATATGATGCCTTATTAAAACCCAATTAAAAAACATGACTCAAACAATTTTTCAAGAGGGTAGTCCATGAGCAACCCTGATACACAATAGTGTGGTTTGTTTGGGGGTACACTATTGTGTCCAGCTGCTTCCTGAGGTGATTGTTTTTTTTTTCAACCATTTCCTTTTCTTTTTCCTTTGCTAAAGTTTGTTTCCTTTTACTTAGCTTCATTTTTCTTGGATTCAAAACCAAAGGCTTTCCAAAGGATTAGTTTCAGCCAAGCAAAAAAAAACATGAATGATCATGATACACAATAGTATGGTTTGTTTGAGGGTACACTATTGTGTCCAGCTGCTTCCTGAGGTGATTTTGTTTTTTAACATTCCCTTTACATTTTCCTTTGCTAAAGTTTATGTCTTTTATTTTCTCAATTAGTTTCTTTTATTTAGAATTCTCAGAAATGCCTAATTTCCCAAAATATATGATGCCTTATTAAAACCCAATTAAAAAACATGACTCAAACAATTTTTCAAGAGGGTAGTCCATGAGCAACCCTGATACACAATAGTATGGTTTGTTTGAGGGTACACTATTGTGTCCAGCTGCTTCCTGAGGTTATATTTTTTTTCAAGCATTTCCTTTCCCTTTTCCTTTACTAAAGTTTGTTTCCTTTTACTTAGCTTCATTCTTCTTGGAATCAAAACCAAAGGCTTTCCAAAGGATTAGTTTCAGCCAAGCAAAAAAAACATGAATGATCCTGATACACAATAGTATGGTTTGTTTGAGGGTACACTATTGTGTCCAGCTTCTTCCTGAGGTGAAAAAAACAATCATCCATCCAAGTAATTATTTTAAAGAATATCAAATCTAAATTGATTCACATCTGCTAAATTCAATCTTAGTCCATGCTGCTAAGTTCAATCTCAGTAATTAATTAATTATCTTAGTGCTTGCAACTCTACCCAACCCCATCACTTTCCCAGCCATCTTTTGCCAGTGTGTCCTGCTGATAGTCACATGCTGAGACATTCAAAAATCATTAAGCCTTGCTTAGCTCAATGTAAAAGAAAATCACTCAAGCTTGCTGAAGACCTTAATGCTGAGTGAGGTAGGCAGAATGCTGAGGTCCTGTCAGGGACAAGAAACTGATAGCAAAACTGAAAGACCCATTATTTGACACTAAACTCAGTGATGTTAATGTCCAACATTACCCATTACTTATGCTAAAGTAATCAATTAATTAACTAAATAATTGATTAATTATTGATTCATTAATTAGTTAATTAAGTAATTAACTAATTAAAATATTAATTAATCAATTAATTATTCTAAACTGCAACAACAACCAGCAGCAGTGGCAAAACCACCCACATCACTTCAGAGCTGCACTCATTTTTTTCTGCCAGCTAAGAAATTCTTCACAATGCCTCTGGTATAATTACTCAGGAAGTGACTAAGGCTTCTAATTGACTATATATCTGCTCAGCAGTCATGCACCTGAGTTAATTATACATCCACAACTTCCTTCACTGAGTCCTGAGGCTTGTGATCAATCTGAGGAGACTTTTGCATCAGCTGCCTGAGATCTAGTTCACTCATTTGATGAGTTTCCATGAACTTTCTCAGAGCGTCCTTATTCACAAGATCCTGAGACAGCTTCTGCTCCCAGTAGGACTGAGATCTTTTCACTGAGAGTTGAAGCTCAGCATGCAAAGCCCTGAGCTCACCTTGCTCCTCTTCCATGTTCTTAGCATCTTTCCTGAGCCTAAGCATTGTGAGCTCCTGAGATTCAAGTGCCTGCTCAAGTAGAAGAATCTTGGACTTCATGTCCTCAATCAGGTCAGGTACATTGTCCAAGTCACTGAGCTTCTGATCTGATTCTGAGTTGTCCAGGAGCTTGTCAATCTCATTGATGTTCAGCTTTTGGAGCTCAGACTTGACATAGCCCTGAGCATCATTGGCAGTCCTGATAGGCTGAGGCTTCCAAACTGAGCTTCCCTGCATATTTGATAAAGCAGCATCCTGATGAGGTCTGCCTGAGCCCTTCCCTGTTGATGAAGAAGCAGTTGCTGCTGAGAATCCAGCTGGTGGATCAGGCTCAGGAGGCTTGAACTGAGCTTGTCTGAACTGAGGAGCTACAAATGCACCCCAAGGCAATGGGTCCATTCTGAGCACCTCAGTGTAATATCTTTGAACCACTTCCTGAGACCAGCCATTGTGTTCCTGCAGGGTTGCAAATGGTGTCCATGAAAAAAATGACAACTATATCAGTTAATTAATGCTCATTGTCCTATGCTAAAACACACAAACACACACCAACAAAAAAAAAATCATCCATTTGTTCAACCCAGGCACAGAGCATTCTCTACATCCTGATTGCCAGGGAATTCTGCTGAGGAAGACTTGATGGCCATTGCCACAGTCAACCTTAGGCTCCCAAAGGTATCTAGGATACTCCACAATGTTTTCTGAGTCCATGTTGTTGAAGAGTGCTAAGCATGAGGGTTCCTGAGGTGGATCATTGGGCTGAAGCTGGTAGCGCCCTTGGCCACCCTTCTGAGTCCACAAAACCTTGTCAGGCACCTCATCAGGCTTCTCTTCAAACATAGGATGAGGTTTGCCTGAGCCTCTCCCATGATAGTCAAAGAAAGACATAGCTGAGATGATATGGAGCAAAGGTTGATTAGTCCTGGCCCTTAGATTTGAGCCTTAAAAAGCTGAGGAATCACATAGACATGCACAAATATGAACATGCTACAACTTCATTGGTTAATTAATTAGCTAATTACTCAATTATAAGAAACTTAAACATGCATAAGCATGCTAATTAATTAATTAATTGATTAATTAATTAATTAATTAATCAAAATTGCCAAAAGTCTAAGATTATGTCCAAGCTGAGCACTAATCCCACACCACCAGAAACACCCTTCAGTCCTCTAGGGCTCTTCAGTCTTGGCCTTCTTGGACTTGGGCTCAGCATCTGAGGATGGATCTGATGCTGAATCATCACTGCTCATAGGCTGAGAGTCTAGGACCTGAGAATCATCAACCAGCTCCTGGGACCCAAAGGGTGTATCTGATGGTGCTTCATCATCACTCCCCATAGGCTGAGAGTCTAAGACCTGAGAGTCCTTAGCCACCTCCATCACCTCATGGTCAGGCTGTGCATTCAACTCCTTTTCCATATCCTGAAACTTGCTGAGGGTAGCATCAAATGTATCAGACTTAGCAGGTTGGGCAGGCTGGGCAGGCTGAGGAAGAGGGATACACTCTGATGGCCAACCATCCTGAGCATCCTGAAGAGCTGTCTTGAGAATCCTAATCCATTGCCCCTGAGTGATCTTTGGGTAACCCTTGAAGTCTTTGAAGATCTGACTGAGTTCATTCCTGAAACTGAGCATCACCCAATCAGGCACAGCATCAGGATCCTCAAGCTGAACCAACTGCTGAGTGTAGTACTTCTGCAGCATGTCCACAAACTGTTCCTGAGAGCACCTGAGCTTCACCTTGATGTCAGCCATCTCAGCTGTCAGAGCCACCACCTTCATGGAGTTGCTTAAAGAACCACCCAAAAATAAAACTCATTAACTAATTCATTAATGGATTTCCCATTGGGAAACAAAAAAACAAATCCAAGCCTTAGGACTCAAAGAGAATTTCTCCAGAGTCAGGATATTCCTGAGGTTGGAAAACCATTCCACAAGATGATAATTGTAGTCCTTCCTGAGCTTGTCCATCTCAGTGTTGAATTGCTCCATGGCTGAGCTGATGGGATGCAAAGAAGCTGGCTAGAATGGGCTTGAGCCTTCACAAGCAAAGAAATAAATCCCCCCATGTGAGATGAAAATGGATTGAAATCAAATGAAAAGCAATTCCTTTGTTAATTAATAAATTAAGTTGAAATCAATTCAAAGTAAAGTGAAAATCAATTGAAAAACAATTTAATTAAACAAATTGAAAATCAATCGAAATTAATTTGAAATCATTTGAAATCAATTGAACATCAGTTGAAAATGAATTGAAATCAATTGCAATCAAAACCAAAGGCTTTCCAAAGGATGAGTTTCAGCCAAGCAAAAAAAAATATGAATGATCATGATACACATTAGTATGGTTTGTTTGAGGGTACACTATTGTGTCCAGCTGCTTCCTGAGGTTATGTTTTTTTTCAAGCATTTCCTTTCCCTTTTCATTTACTAAAGTTTGTTTCCTTTTACTTAGCTTCATCCTTCTTGGAATCAAAACCAAAGGCTTTCCAAAGGATCAGTTTTAGCCAAGCAAAAAAAAACATGAATGATCCTGATACACAATAGTATGGTTTGTTTGAGGGTACACTATTGTGTCCAGCTGCTTCCTGAGGTGATGTTGTTTTTTAACATTCCCTTTGCATTTTCCTTTGCTAAAGCTTTTTTTTATTTTCTCAATTAGTTTCTTTTATTTAGAATTCTCAGAAATGCACAATTTCCCAAAATATATGATGCCTTATTAAAACCCAATTAAAAAACATGACTCAAACAATTTTTCAAGGGGGTAGTCCATGAGCAACCCTGATACACAATAGTGTGGTTTGTTTGGGGGTACACTATTGTGTCCAGCTGCTTCCTGAGGTGATGTTGTTTTTTAACATTCCCTTTGCATTTTCCTTTGCTAAAGCTTTTTTTTATTTTCTCAATTAGTTTCTTTTATTTAGAATTCTCAGAAATGCACAATTTCCCAAAATATATGATGCCTTATTAAAACCCAATTAAAAAACATGACTCAAACAATTTTTCAAGGTGGTAGTCCATGAGCAACCCTGATACACAATAGTGTGGTTTGTTTGGGGGTACACTATTGTGTCCAGCTGCTTCCTGAGGTGATTGTTTTTTTTCAATAATTTCCTTTTCCTTTTCCTTTGCTAAAGTTTGTTTCCTTTTACTTAGCTTCATTTTTCTTGGAATCAAAACCAAAGGCTTTCCAAAGGATTAGTTTCAGCCAAGCAAAAAAAACATGAATGATCATGATACACAATAGTATGGTTTGTTTGAGGGTACACTATTGTGTCCAGCTGCTTCCTGAGGTGATTTTGTTTTTTAACATTTCCTTTACATTTTCCTTTGCTAAAGCTTTTTTTTATTTTCTCAATTAATTAGTTTCTTTTATTTAGAATTCTCAGAAATGCACAATTTCCCAAAATATATGATGCCTTATTAAAACCCAATTAAAAAACATGACTCAAACAATTTTTCAAGGGTGTAGTCCATGAGCAACCCTGATACACAATAGTGTGGTTTGTTTGGGGGTACACTATTGTGTCCAGCTGCTTCCTGAGGTGATTGTTTTTTTTTTTAACCTTCCTTTTCCTTTTCCTTTGCTAAAATTTGTTTCCTTTTACTTAGCTTCATTTTTCTTGGAATCAAAACCAAAGGCTTTCCAAAGGATTAGTTTCAGCCAAGCAAAAAAAAACATGAATGATCATGATACACAATAGTATGGTTTGTTTGAGGGTACACTATTGTGTCCAGCTGCTTCCTGAGGTGATTTTGTTTTTTAACATTTCCTTTACATTTTCCTTTGCTAAAGCTTTTTTTTATTTTCTCAATTAATTAGTTTCTTTTATTTAGAATTCTCAGAAATGCACAATTTCCCAAAATATATGATGCCTTATTAAAACCCAATTAAAAAACATGACTCAAACAATTTTTCAAGGGGGTAGTCCATGAGCAACCCTGATACACAATAGTGTGGTTTGTTTGGGGGTACACTATTGTGTCCAGCTGCTTCCTGAGGTGATTGTTTTTTTTCAACAATTTCCTTTTCCTTTTCCTTTGCTAAAGTTTGTTTCCTTTTACTTAGCTTCATCCTTCTTGGAATCAAAACCAAAGGCTTTCCAAAGGATCAGTTTTAGCCAAGCAAAAAAAAACATGAATGATCCTGATACACAATAGTATGGTTTGTTTGAGGGTACACTATTGTGTCCAGCTGCTTCCTGAGGTGATGTTGTTTTTTAACATTTCCTTTGCATTTTCCTTTGCTAAAGCTTTTTTTTATTTTCTCAATTAGTTTCTTTTATTTAGAATTCTCAGAAATGCACAATTTCCCAAAATATATGATGCCTTATTAAAACCCAATTAAAAAACATGACTCAAACAATTTTTCAAGGGGGTAGTCCATGAGCAACCCTGATACACAATAGTGTGGTTTGTTTGGGGGTACACTATTGTGTCCAGCTGCTTCCTGAGGTGATTGTTTTTTTTTCAATAATTTCCTTTTCCTTTTCCTTTGCTAAAGTTTGTTTCCTTTTACTTAGCTTCATTTTTCTTGGAATCAAAACCAAAGGCTTTCCAAAGGATTAGTTTCAGCCAAGCAAAAAAAACATGAATGATCATGATACACAATAGTATGGTTTGTTTGAGGGTACACTATTGTGTCCAGCTGCTTCCTGAGGTGATTTTGTTTTTTAACATTTCCTTTATATTTTCCTTTGCTAAAGCTTTTTTTTATTTTCTCAATTAATTAGTTTCTTTTATTTAGAATTCTCAGAAATGCACAATTTCCCAGAATATATGATGCCTTATTAAAACCCAATTAAAAAACATGACTCAAACAATTTTTCAAGGGGGTAGTCCATGAGCAACCCTGATACACAATAGTGTGGTTTGTTTGGGGGTACACTATTGTGTCCAGCTGCTTCCTGGGGTGATTGTTTTTTTTTTTAACCTTCCTTTTCCTTTTCCTTTGCTAAAGTTTGTTTCCTTTTACTTAGCTTCATTTTTCTTGGAATCAAAACCAAAGGCTTTCCAAAGGATTAGTTTCAGCCAAGCAAAAAAAAAACATGAATGATCATGATACACAATAGTATGGTTTGTTTGGGGGTACACTATTGTGTCCAGCTGCTTCCTGAGGTGATTGTTTTTTTTCTTTTACTTGAAAGTAAATTGAAATCAATTGCAAGTAAATTGAAATCAATTGAAAGTAACTTGAAATGAGTATGATCATGATACACAATAGTATGGTTTGTTTGAGGGTACACTATTGTGTCCAGCTGCTTCCTGAGGTGTTGTTTTTTTTTATATTCCCTTTACATTTTCCTTTGCTAAAGTTAGTTTCTTTTATTTTCTCAATTAGTTTCTTTTATTTAGAATTCTCAGAAATGCTCAATTTCCCAAAATATATGATGCCTTATTAAAGCCCAATTAAAAAACATCACTCAAACAATTTTTCAAGGGGGTAGTCCATGAGCAACCTTGATACACAATAGTATGGTTTGTTTGGGGGTACACTATTGTGTCCAGCTGCTTCCTGAGGTGATTGTTTTTTTTCTTTTACTTGAAAGTAAATTGAAATCAATTGCAAGTAAATTGAAATCAATTGAAAGTAACTTGAAATGAATTGAAAGTAACTTGAATTCAATTGAAAGTAAATTGAAATCAATTGAAAGTAAATTGAAATCAAATGAAAGTAAATTGAAATCAATGGAAAGTAACTTCAAATCAATTGAAAGTAACTTCAAATCAATTGAAAGTAAATTGAAATCAATTCAAAATAAATTGAAATCAATTGAAAGTAAATTGAAATCAATTGAAAGTAAATTGAAATCAATTGAAAGTAAATTGAAATCAATTGAAAGTAAATTGAAATCAATTCAAAATAAATTGAAATCAATTGAAAGTAAATTGAAATCAATTGAAAGTAAATTGAAATCAATTGAAAGTAAATTGAAATCAATTCAAAATAAATTGAAATCAATTTAAATCTATCAATTTTTTTGATTTTACACTATTCTGTACCCGGTAATTTGTTTTTTCCACACTATTCTGTTACCCAAATTTGTTTGGGGGGGGGGGGCCCTCCCCACACTAATCAGTAACCTACATTAAGCTAAGTTATAAGTTACAAAGTTATAACAAAGTATGGTAAATATAAATATAAATATATATATATTATGTCCTGGGCGTATCTGTAATATACTGCATTTACATACCTGATCCTGTATGAAATTCATTTGAAGCTCCATTCTCTTCCGACAAAATAGCAAGCAATATGCTTCCCAATAGTGTTGGGTTGCGTTTACATTCACCAGTTGCGACACAGGTATGTCTAGTCAGTCCTTGGTATCAGATTGTTTTGATTCTGCAACAATCACACTGACACTGACACTCCTCTCTCTATCTCAAAGACCCGACAAAAAGTCTTGATTTGGAGATACAGTGACTCAGGCCTTCGGTTGCGCTCGAACTAGAGAAGCTGGAAGCGGCACCTTGTTCAGTCAGTCCCAGAGTCTATTTGTCTTGGAAGTAATTGGAAGTGTTTGTTGCTTTATCCGCACGTATATATATATATCATATTCTTCTCAGCTGCGGGTGGTGCCAAGCTATGTCTACATGCCACCATTGCAGCATGGTGACCGTTGGGCCATTCTCAGATCTGAAGAGCACATGAGCTACCACATCCTCTGCCTAGCGGTCAGAAAGATCCAGAAAGCTGCAAATGAAGGTGGGTCAGTTCAGAGTCCACGATAGCCTTCAGTCTCTGTAGTCGAATTGCAATTCTACAGTGCAAACAAGGCCCCACCTCATCGACAGAAACAAGGACGCTGGAAACTCCCACTCCTTGAAACAGGGGAGCACTGGCAAACCTGGAAAACATGTAAGCTTGACTTGCTTGACGTGATTTGAGCCACGAGCCACAAAACATCCATTCGACGAAGCGCATCTCAGCGTTGTCTTAAATGACATGCAGAATGATGCAAAACGTATCTGCTTATGTTTGATTGTTT